TGGAACCCCACTAACGAGATCGTTGCCCCCTTCGCCATTTGGTCTTCGCTTTTGTGTCGCTGGCCTCGCTTACCTACTTTCTGAGTGATTAAGCTATGGCACTTTACCTTACTTCACCTTACCTTTTGCAGTCATGAGTCCCCTGCTATCGCTTCGCTGGTTCCTGTTACTGTCGCAACTCTATTTGGTCCCGGGGACATATTCTGTTTGACTCGCACTCAAGAAAAATCGCACTTCTTGCTCAGAAAGCTAGAACGGTTGCTTCTCTACACTTTGACAGAGACAACCTGAATGATAAAATAATCATAGCAGAGGAGCCTCGTATACATGAACCTTGGAACTCTCATAGGCGCGACAATTCCTCTCAATGCAGAGAACGGACGCTCCGGAAAACGAGCATGAGTTGGCCCTTCGCAACCGCTATCTCTCACAATTACTCTCAGCATGAAGCATCGGCTACTGTCTGGTTCTCGACAGCCCTTGAGAAATACATTCATCGACAGCACAATTTACACTCGATAGCTCATTGCTTCACAACCACGTTCAAGCAAGTTGTTACTCTTCGGGTTAACAACCCCACAGTCCTTCTGCAATAGCCCTCATGAATGAGCGGTGTGATGGAGCAACCTCATTACCAAGCAGGAACCACTCTATGTGATAAAACGACAGCTTGGTGGCAAGCTTATCTTCTACTCCCCTCATGATAGTCCGCGAATTCATCAGGATCGCGCTTTAGGTCCATTTCGTCGGCGTCAAAGCCTTTGCTTAGCATTCCCTTTTCGTCATGTGTAATGTAGGCAGCGACACTGGTGCAGAGAGCAACTGAAGTCAATTTGAAGCACGAAATGTCTCAACGAATATTGGCGACGAGCGTTGAAGCTTACGGTGCCATTGGGAGCTTCGCACACGATTCAACTGGCATGTCCGGGGTTCTCACCAAATGCCGACCTCGGCAAGCTTCTTGACCCGCTTTGCGACGTTGGCGAAGCCCGTTCAAGTCATTCGCCTGTGACAAAGATTTGCAAACTTTCCATTCGTTACGTGATAACGCATGACGATGTCTTGCGTCTCAGCCATTCCTACGGTGGTCAGTGTCCGAAGCTGCATCTTTGATAGATGAGCAACTCTCACACTTCGATACTTTAGTCTCAAAGATATGGAGAAATTATCTGGACAGCGAGGTCCCTCTATTGAGATATACTCACTGATTTGGTCACTTTGAGTTTTCAATATTTCAAGATGAATGGTTTTACCCTCTAGATGGGTTGTGTGAACAGCGAGAATACTCCAACAATCTCTGCAAGATGAGTGAGCCACGCGATCAGCTTTTTCCAACCCCCACCGCCGCCGTTGAAGGGTCTTCGTTCTAGTGATGTGGCATTCAATGAAATAGTACTCGGGCTAAGTGGAACGCCTTTATTGATGGAAATTTGGCTCGGGAATAGCCTGATGCTGGCTATCCTGTACTAGCGACCTAGCATGCAAACTCGCAAAGCTAGCTCAGCTCCGTTACTTGCCGTCAGGAGCCTTCTTTCTGCATGCTACTCTTAGAAATCAGGGCTGTCGGATACTCCGTGGAGTCCAAATCTCAGCGACGAGGGTAAGAGAAGGAGTCGAGACTTCTTGCTAGCTGTGCTGGACGTACGCAGGCAGAGGACTACGACGTAAGAGCAGCAGCCTAACCTTGAGGGTCAAGGCGAGCGAATCAAAAGGCAAACATGATGAAGTTACGTCTAGGAACACTATGAACTTCCAAGTTCATGGTTCGAGGTGTCATATTGACGGTAAGCTCTGTTGGAAAGTGTCCTCTATAAGACGTGACGTAACATTTTATCCCCTTTTTTCTCTCTCTCATCCACAGATCATGTCTTCAGAATTCCAGTCTTTTGGTGTTAAATGAACACACTGGTTACACCATGGTGATCTGAGTGTACTCATGCTCCTACCGAGCACCGTGAGGCTCTTCGGCTAAATCGTTGAACGAAAGTCATTCTGACAAGCCCGCCTTCGGGAAGCTCTACTCATCGTCTGCATATTCTCATGGAACATCCAACTGAGGGAAAGAAGGATGGGGTATTGGAGTAGTTCTGACTTGACTAGTTGCGCAGGACATCATCCTTACTAGTGCATCACAGAAGCATTGGGTCAGACTCAGCCGAAACTCGCCTGTAGGATGTCACGAGCCTCCCCTCAAGTATCTCGCATCCAATCCCCGCCAGCACCCATACCGAGCGAGCTGAAGTGAGAGCAAGACGGGTGCTTTTATATTACTTGGTGCCTAAGCGTCTAGTGAGGCATGCCACCTAGCTTCGACAGCGGGTTATTGGGGGGTGGGGGGTAGAGGAGTTGTATGTAACAACAGGCGTCAGATTCGGAACAGGATTGATGCACGGAGTCTATCTTCAGACACCTTTGCCACTCTTGAAGTACCGTTATCCACGCGTGAGCGAGAATCAAGCGATTGCAGAGATCTAGGCATGAAGCAAGCTTCCCTGGCCGGGTCCAGGAAGGCATTACAAGCCCGGTGAGTCTCTATCACAAGTCAACTCTTGGTCATTCTTTATCTTTGGTAAAGGAATTTAACGTAATTAGGGGGCATGAGCCCCGTCAGAAATTTGATCTTGCTTCGTTGACGAGTCCTGTCTCTCAAAACTTGAAAGACCCCCTGCGGAAGCACAGGAAATACGAGAGTCGCAATCTGCAGGAACAAGTGACTGAGTTACAGGGGGGGGGGATGTTCTGAAGCCGGGAACTTGCTGGGAAGTAGAATGAAATACTGTTGCGGGTGAGAAAATGCTGTGTAATGAAAGTGGTAATGAACGCGTTTTGCTCAATTGAATTGCGGATTGAGAGCCGACCCTTGTTCTAGTTGACACTCATCGTCGTCTTATGTAGGAAGAAAGCTGTAGGTTATCCGATACTCATGATCAAGGCACTTGTTTATGAGACCAAGGGGAAATGATTCTTCATGATTCATGGCTGATGAGCTATGAGAGCAAGTCAAATGGGGTTTCGATCTTGGTAGCACTGCTTGCAGGGTCAACCTTTCGGTACGCTGTTTTATGTTTCAGTTCGCTGGTTGAGATAGATAGCCAGCGCTCAGGTTCTATAAATTATTGATGAGTGTCATAAAGTAGTTATCATGTCATGTCCCAGCTTCTGCCGAGAGTATTGTATCTACACTAGCTGCCACTCAATGCCGTCATTTACATCCTGAGAAAGATCGTTGCTAATCCACAGTGAGTGATCACCAGCTTCAATGAAGGGCATGGAACTGAATATTGGGAGAGGTGCGTCTCTGTGTTAGTCTCTTCATGCTCAAGCAGCTATTGCGAATTACAATACGTTCCAGCGATCCTGTATCTCGTTCCAAGAGACACCTTGAAGGAAGAATTGCCGTCTGGATCAGTGTCATGTATAGACCAGAATTGTGATAACTCACAATACGTTGTCTTTTCTAGGCGTAGGGTCCACAGTTTTCTACACCTTAGGCTTGCTAGAGTTTCCATCATGGCATAGTTTTCGAAAGGGAGTGAAGATGACGGACAACCTCCACAGACCCACTAGCTACCAACATCAACCTCAAGGCCCTCGAAGAAACAGAGCACTTTCAAAAGTGACTGATCGTAGCGGCAGACGGTGCGGGCGCAGGCGCGGGCTTCAGCATTCTACCATTCTCAAAGACACCTAAAGCTTCAGCGGTGACGATGACCTCGAGGCAGCCGACGGGGCGCCGGAGCACAGTCTTTAACAAAATGCCCGGAATGCTCAACATTGTACGGCTCCTGCCACAGGGCCCCGATGCAATCCATGTACCCTTGGATAGCTGATAGAGATTTCGCCACTTAAAAGCTGCACCTTGAGCTGCGCCTTGAGGTAAGAGAGGCAAGGCTATATATACCGACCAAACGTAGAAAGTCCTCAGTCTACAGCGGCCGATCTCCACGCGTGCCCTTGGTGCGAGATGTCATGAGTAGAGTAACAGGATGAGGAGTGAGGCTGATGCCATTTGGTAACACCTAAGCTCATTTTCCCTCATGGATTGGGCCAACCGAGGGGACAAGAGGCTGGGATCGCGGGTGACTTTCAGATCACTCGCCGAAGATCAAGTAGACAAACCCGTGGCTCACCCCCTGGTCCGTATTCGCATTGGAATTCTATCCAGATGGACACCGAGACACACCACAAGGAGATAGGGTAAATCTTCCAACGAGTTTCAGCAGGACCCCACCAACTTCATGGGCCGCATCCGCTTTATTAATGTCGAAACGAAAGGATCGCCTGCCATCTTGGAGGAAATGGAGTATGCCCGGCGATGTTCATAGCTATTGACATCTACTTGGCCCGCTAAAAAGGACCATTTCTGGCCCATGATAACCCATCCGATGTATATGTCAAGCGGGCAGAGTCACCAGTGGAGATAGAATCCCAACGTAGTCCACACAAATTCAGTCTTCGTCAGCGCAGCTCTCGATAAAATGTTCTCTACTCTGTGTTGAAGAGGCACCGGGACCGCGACTGTCTGACGCGTACTTGATGATGTAGAAAAGGGGGAGACGTTGGAGACTGATAGCGCCGCGATGTGGTTCCCAGGTCCATTGAGTGAAACCCCACATAAAACACCCTTGGGCAAGATATATACGAGAGCCTGTGCCAATAAGGTCGCAATTCATTTCGACAGCTGCAGGACGAGACAGCTCGGCCAATATGGTACGGACACTGCTCTTGACGACCAGCAAGGTTAGAAAGATCATCTGAAAAACTGAATTTGGGACGGTGTATATTTGTATATGACGTTTTCAACTGTATCCCCACTTCCACAACACGCTACAAGTACATTCTCTTCCCACCGCGTCGGGTGTAAGAAAAAGATCTCTATCAGTCTCCCACGTTTTGGCGATGATGAACTATTTCGTTCCCATCTCCCCCACCAACCACTCGCCCCCGCGTTCTTTAGGGGGGCTCGCCGTCTATTTCTCTCTCTTTACCATACAAGCAACTCACAGAACAAGTCTGCCAGGCTCCTCCTCCAAAATCACCTTGACCCTCTCCAAAAACACCTTGGCGCGTTTCTCATCGCCCTGCGGCACCGTCACGGTGAACAGGTTGCTTCCGGACGACATGCCAGGGGTGTGGTGAGCAGCGACCGGCTTCTTAGCGGGGACGGCCTTCTTGGCGGGCGCGGCGAGCAAGTCGATGATATCAGCCGAGGACGATCTCTTGGACGCGCGGGGCGCTAGGAGCGAAGACTCGGGCAGAGCGGAGATCTGAGGCAGGTAGTATCCGCGGGAGCCGCGGGGCGCCAGCTTGTCGAGGCCGAGGACCTGGTTGAAGAGCTCGTCGGCGGTGGCCTTGCGGGCCGAGGGGGGCAGGTCGTCGTTGGCGACCTCGGCGGCGCGGGCGACAAAGGTGGAGACGGGCATGAAGACGCCGAGGGTGGACTGGATGCGCTTCTGGGCCTCGAGGACCTTTGCGAGGGAGACGGGGAGGGCGACCTCGGAGTCGACGGGGGCGGCGGGCGCGGCGGCGGCGGCCTCGGCCTTCTTGGGTGCCGGGGCCTCCTTCTTGGGCGCGACCTTGATGTTGCTTAGGTCGAGGTGGGACATCTTGACGGCGCGGTTCATAATCTTGGAGGGGGTTTCGGCGTTGATGGTGCCCAGGTAGGCGAGGACGTCGCCCTTGAGGAGGCGGCCGTTGGGGCCCGTGGGCTCAATCTGGTTGACGGCGTCCTTGCCGAGGCCGTGGCCGTTGACGAGGGCCTGGACGGAGGGGAGGAGGGGGTATCGCTGCTCGCGGGCCTTGGAACCGGAGGTCTTGGCCGCGCCACCCTTTTGCTGCGCGGGAGCCGATGCCGCCGCGGGGCCGTCGCTCTTGGGTGCCGACTTCTCGGCGGCCGGGACGGGCTTCGAAGAGGAGGAGGTGTTGTTGTCTTCGGCGGGAACCTCGAGAGAGGAGAGGTCGTCACCGGGCTCGGCGATGACGGCGATACGGGTGCCGACCTGGACGGCCTTGGCGCCGTCGCCGGTGGTGATCTTGAACATGACGCCGTCGTCTTGGGCCTCGACGTCCATGGTAGCCTTGTCCGTCTCGATCTCGAGGAGCACGTCGCCGGCGGAGAAGGATTCACCCTCCTTGACCTTCCAACTGGCGATGCTGCCCTCCGTCATGGTCGGGGAGAGGGCGGGCATGGAGAAGTTCTGGGCCGCGAGGCATCGTGCTGAAGTCCGGAAGCCTGTTTATGGGGAGGTCGAAGAGTGGTCAGCTCCGGTTTTGTCTCGCGGTTTCACGTCGTTGCAGAGGGACAGCAAAAGGGTGTATCTGCTGACAGCTACAGCATCTCTGAGAGGGGACAAGTTGATTTACGGACCTCGAGCTGTGGACTCTGCGGGTATTCTCCGGCCAGCAACCCTCGCAGAAAGACGAGCCGCCGTCGCAAGGGAAGTCATCTTTACAATTCACGGGAACCGTTCGTCGGAGCCGGAGGTTTATTCGGGGATACGTAGGGAGCGGAGCGGGTTCGGATCGATTCAATTGAGGGATAACTTTCAAGAAAAAACTTCCCCAATTGATTTTCCGTTGTCGGACCACACAATACGAGGGGACGGACGCAGGCGTTTTGGTCGTTGGAGTCGGAGGACGGTGGACAAGGGGAAAAAAAGAAGAGGAAATCGCCAAAGTGGGTTGAACGAAGGCTTGTCCGTTCGGGCGTGGTCGGTGTCGGTGGTCGAAAAAGCGAACCCGGGGCGGCGCCTTGTGCTCTCTCTGCGTCTCTCTCTCTCGCGCAAGGATAAAATTGTCGAGCTCCGTTGGGTGAGCTTCCTTCTAGCGCCAGCAATCATGGACCTGTTGGGGTGGGACCGGGCTGGGCCTGGTGTGGCTTATCGCCGAATTTTGACGGCGGACGGGGGGGGAGGAGAGACGCTGTGCGAGCACGGACCAAGAAAATGCCGCCAAATTGTTGGTCCCATTGGCCCCTTCCTCGCCCGTTAGATCGGATGACAACCAAAAAGTACGTACTCGCTTTCTGAGCGGTTTTAAACATCTGTGGCGCCTTATCGTTGCGCCGCTCTCCGACCGCACCTCACCTTACCTTACAGCACGGGCAGGCAAGGACACCAAAAAAAGTCCCCTGCTGCAGATTGGACGTCGCATTTCGATAGTGGAGACACCTTCCACCCCGGTCGTCAAGACGTCTGATGCTCCACAGAAACTTTTCTGGATAGCTTCAATTTCCACCACGTACGATATCCCGCGACAGCTTGACGCATTCCTGCCGGGACCAATTGAGCCACGGCCACTGCGGCGCAAACTCCCAAACCTCTTTTTTTTTTCTCTGTATAATTGGCTTCATTTCATAGGTCTTCTGTCACCACCACCACCACCACCACCACCAGTAATCCGCAACCATGGCAGCCTCCTCGAGAGGCATGAGCCTCTGCCTCCTCCTCGCCTCCCGGCCCGGGCCCCTCTGCGCGACGACAACGGCAACGACACAACCCCTTCTCCCCCGCCGGCTCTTCAGCTCCATTCTCCCCCTCCGATACGCCGCAAAACCCTCGCGCACGACAACGATCCCAAACAACCTCACCCGCAGCGCAGTCTCCAAACCTCATCCTCCTTCGAAATACCCCCTCCCATCAACATCACCAAAGACGACAACGAACCCCGCGGCAGCATCCCCAGGCGCCGGCGCCGGCGCCACCGCAGGCTCAGCCTACGCCCTCGCAACAACCCTCGCCCAGCGCCCCCAACCAACAGTCCTCTACGAAGCCGCCTCCCACCTCTGGATGAAAGTCTCGGCCTGGTCCGCCGCCACAATGTTCTACAGCTACGCCGGCGTGAACTACTACTTCACCCTCCTCGATCCCCCTCCCGACCTCGCCGCCTGGGTCCCGCACGCCTTCGCCCTCATCTGCGTCGCCACCGCCGGCTTCGGCTCCTACTTCCTCTTCAACGCCCGCAACATCGTCAAGATCATCCGCGCCGTGCCGACGGCTTCCCTCTTGAAGTCTGCGGGCGAAAAGTCCGCCGCCGGTGTGCTGCCCCTAGGCGTGAGCAGCGCAAAAGCAACACCCGTCGTGCTCGAAATCACATGCGAGCGCATCCTGCCCGGAACCCCCAAAAAGTTCCTCCTCGCGCCGGACCAGGTCACCATCCCGACCCGGATCTACTCGCCTTTCGTAACGCCCACGCCCGCCATGGAGAGGGCCGCCGCGCGGCAAAGGCAGGTGCAGGCGAGAGCCGACTGGGAGTACGACAAGGGACATCTCATGACGACGCCGTTCCGGCATGCGAGTAAAGGATTCAAGGCGGCGTGGTACGGCGTCCGGAGGGCCATCACCAAGGAAGGGTTCCTGAGGATGGAGGCGGGCGGGGAGAAGCTCAAGCTGGACGTCTCTACAGGCTGGGCGCTAGATGATGGACGGGCTATTGATCGTCTTGTCAAGATTGGGGCGTGAGATTTAGGTATGTATGTGTGATTGATGGGTTCGTGGATGATGGGAGAATTCGCACTTGCCCTGAGAGGGAGGTTAGCTGTTCTCCTATCATTGAACAAGGTTGTACAATACTGTATCATGATTGAATCCCAATGTAGACGAGATTCTAGCAGATTTAATGCTCAAAAGATTGGACAGAGACGTCTCCACGAACAAGATAGCTGAGAGAAAACTAGAGAGAACTGGTGTCTCAAACATTCACAATAGACACTGGGCTAGTGTCGCGCGGTAACTTACTTTTGACATCCAGAGTCCCTTTCACCCACGACTCCAGAGCGGGACGATCTACACACAACACAAACCTCACTGTGCCATGCTCTGAGCGCAGACGCGATGTACCACTCACCAAGACCTAGCGAGAACCGAAGAGGAGAACCAGCCTGCCCCGAGCCGGTAGACGTCGAGGCTGCCCGGTGCCAGTATCCCCCTCCAAAGCCACTTCGCAACGTAAATGTCACCAACCTCAAGTCCCAAAATCTCTTCAAATTACACGGAAAGCAAAGACGCGCTGTTGCCGCATGTTGCTGGCGAACCCCGCCGAACGTACCCATCCACAGCATTCTCTTCGCGATGCAGGAGTAAGAAACCGTCGATAACATCGTCGATCTTACATAGTCATGCTGCATGCTTCAACCGGGCCCAGACCGACAGAATGTAAGCAGCCCTATAGAGCTCCCCTCTCGGAACCCGCAAAACGCATCTCGATCCAACAAAAGTCGTGGGCCTGACATGGCAAGAAACACAACTGCCTTGGTTCCAGCAAGGCGTACGTGCATCCCGAGGGAGCCAAGTCAACATCTTCACCAGACCGCCCCTTACAGCCTTACCGTTACCCCTCCATGTGCCTCAGAGCGCCGCTTTACTTGAAGAAAAAAAAAAGTGCTTTCTGATATTCACCGCGTACAGAACGGGAGGGGCAGAAGGGCCACGGGCACAGATCGGCCTAGAGCCCCTGATCGGCCCTCTCTGGTGTCCCTGATGATCGGTCATACTAGGACGACCTAATTCTATGTTTGGAAGCTGAGTGTGTCTCGCCTTGTCCTTGTCCTATATGGCGTGCATCGGAAAATGAGAAAGTAGTGTGTACACACGGTCTCTCGACACCCCCAACCTCGGGAAGTCGACTCCGACCCAACCGCCGCGGCGGGCATTTTCCCTGATGTTCATCGTTTCGGGTCCAGAAGGTGAATGGTATTTGTGGGAATTCGGAAGCTGGAAACAGTCAAGAGATTCTTGGGGTAAGATACGTGGACTGTGGACTGAGCCAGTGGCTAGCGCATGTCGAAAAGCAGGATGCCACAGTAGGTCCAGATCGAGGAAACGCCTAGGGAATCGCATCACGAACCACCGACAGCGTGGTTGTTTGCCGGTGGCGGCTGGGGTGAAGCCTGTGTAAGTGCTGTCCATGTAAGTGGCCGGCCGTTGCATAGAAGTCCGACGAAGGAAAAACAAAACTTCCAGAAAAAAAGTTGGCTGGCAAGGCTGGTGCTGGCTTAGCTGGCGGCTACAAAGTCCCACTTGGCAAGGTGGAATAGTGTATACATCGGGTGGCGGGCGATCTATGGCGGTCAGTCAGCCTCAGAGTTTACGGGGGCGAAACGAGGCTATCCCTGCCTGCCAGAAGCCACGTCGAACCTTCAACGGCTGATCAACAGACATTTTCCAAATGGCGTAGTGAGGGGCAACTGAAGAAATACAAGGTCCTCCCTCTGCCCCTCCGACGAGCTGATGAGCGTTCGTCCTGTCGCAGAGAAGGACCTGTCGATCGCCTCGTCTTTGGAGAGAGGGGGAGTTGCAGCAGGCGGGGTACAGACCTCGGGTGAGGCCATTCCCAAGAACCAGTAGAGAGAGGTTACAAAGTGGTGAGGTATAGGACACACTGCCGGGCGCTTGCTGAGCGGTGTGATGGTAAGCGGCCTTCTCACCGTGCGGGATTGGTTGCAACGAATGGAATTCGACATTTGCCTCCGCTGCCGGACGGAGGATTGGAGAAGAGTAGATGTTGCGGGCTTTGGTGGTTCGGTCTGGCGGCCACCTCACGCTCAGGAATTATCCTTCGTTCCACCCCGCCTTTCAAACGATGCCGTCATCATCTCTCGAGTCGGTCGTCCAACAATGGTCAGGGTTGAGATCATGCGTGATGTTGGCTGATGGGGGGTCCTAGTCTCCACCGAACTGAGTGGAACGACTCATGCCCCATTTTACTCTGATTATTGGTATCGCTATATCGCATCGCACAGCGTAGCGGGACCTACGCTGGCGGGAGACCGAACTCGGGCAATGGCTGGCCGTTGTAAATAGGGGGAACATGCAGCAGGACTCGATCGCATTCCCCACCGGCTGAGATGGCGGCTCCGGACGCCGGCATGAAGGCCACCGAGTGCCTGATTCCGGGCGTCTGTATGCAGTGAGCGTGTGCTCTCTGCCCGTTCAAAGAATGAGAAGCACAGGGGCAGGTCGTCTGCAACTATTCCATTATTCAAAGAGAATGAGAAAATCTAAGGTGGGTTGCACCACAGTTCGAGGCAACACTAAAGTCGTACAAAAAGTACGGATGGCATTTGCAGTGCGGGAAATTGTAAAGACATAGTGAGGGGTCCTCGAGCAGCTGCCCCAAGTCTGAATACCAGGCATGTCCCGAAGTTGACTGGCGCGTGTCTGCGGGTAAGCGTAGGGAATGTATCAAGCAT